TGGGACATCTATTTAAGCCCAAACCAAGCACGAATCAATAAAAACTTTTGGACACAATCTTGAAGCGAGAGGAGCGAGAGAACGAAGAATCGAAGACGGAGAATTGACAACTCTTCATCATTATTCTTCTTTCACCTATCTTTTCTTAATCTATGACTTTTATTACTTTTATTATGTTTTTCGTTATGAGTAGCTAAGTTTTTAATCTAGGATTTTGTTGGAACCCTATGTGGGGATGATGAACCCGTTTTCTTGAGATTATGCAATTATGATTTTATGATTATTTCTTCTACTTGATATGATTGTTAGTGCATGAACTTGATCAATTTATGTGCTTTATCTGTGATTATTGGGATTGACTCGACAGAGCTATTTTGATAATTAGACGGTAAGTAGAAGAACCTTCGAGTAGTTTTCACCGGATGAGTGTGTCAATTGCATGTGGTGTCGTAGACATACAGATATCACCTTAGGTAGCCATTTACGAGACTTGTTAGTTAATGCTTTATTCATAATTGGTTTGCATAGACATATAGTGAATCGTTTATGAATAATAGACTCATAATACACGCGACAACGGGTTATGAGTAAATTAGTGTCTCGGGTTAATAATCATGAATCATATATTTCATAATTGAGGGGTTTTGGGTGAGCAATTCTTGCATAGGGGGAAGATAAAATCCTAGGTCCGTTTTAATTGATATTTTCTCGTGATTCTTTGCTTTCTTAATTAGTTTAATTGTTTAATTGATTTAATTCGACAACTTTGCGTAGGCTGGATAAAAATCATAATTGTTAGAATTTGGTACTTAGGATTAGGTAATTTGCGTATTCCCTGTGGGATCGACATCCGACTCTCACGAGTCCACTTTATTACTTGTTTGCGATACGTGCACTTGCGTGTTGGTATTTAGCACCCAACAGCAGCTTAATGAAAGCCATTAACCTCTTCTTGAAGGTGTGAAAAAATTTGGTTGAAGTTATATCTGCTTCAAGTTACAGTGTTCAACAGACTGTATACATTACTGTACATTACTATGCAATTACTATACATTACTAGTAACATGTAGTTACATATGCATATATTCGTGTGTTTTCGATTTGTATTTTATTGGTTTTGAGGCGATTTATAATATAAATATTGAAATTTGTAAGTTTTTGTTGTTGAGGTTTATGAATTTATTTTGTATAAGCCAGTATTCGTGTGTGTAAATAATTGATCGATTAAAATTATGGGGTAAAAAAAACAGAACATAACTACGAATGACTATAGTTTACTACAGGTACATGTAGTTATTTACAGTACATCAAACATATTGGTTATATAAAAAAAATTAAAAATAAAAAAAAAAAACCAAAAAAAAAACAATAAATAAATAAACAAAAAATTAAATAAAAATTAAATAAAAATTAATAAAAAAAATTAATAGGAAAATATATAAATTAACAAACATGT